ATTTGGTATATGAAATTTTGACCTATACATATTCATTAGAATTTCGGTAGGGAACCCCCTTCTGAACCACTCAAATATTATAAACAATCTTATATATCTATATTTGTCATTATGATGCACCCTGTATAGTGTTGTTATATGGAACACTAAGAAAAGAACTGATAATTTTTTGTTGGTTTTCTAGTACTGTACTTTAAATTCTGTATATTGTTTTTTGTGTATATCAATCACCTAGTGCAATGACTAGATAATCTCAGCTCATTAGCAATACCTGGTAGTAAAACAATCACTAGCCAACCAGTATTAAAGCCCATTGATTTCAGTGGATTTAGGCACTGTGGGATCAAGAAGCACTTAAGTCTGTAATCCTTTAAGTAAGTTCCTAGGAGTAAATTCCACTGAATACAGTAGAGTTTCTTTCCAAAGAAATATGCACAGGATTATTCCCTGGCCTTATCATGTCTAGCAAAGATTAAACATGTCATATTTATGCCATTCTTAATTATAACTATTGAATGAAGCCATTGTAAAAAAAAAGCACTTATTCCTTTCAATTGCTTTACCAGAAGGTTCACAAAGGTATTACTCTCCAGAGATAGAAACCAATGAAGTTGAACAACATCAGCTACATGTTCAGAATACATTACAAAATCAAGTGCAACCACAAGCATCTCCCCGTGACGACAGTGAAAGAAATGAAGTCATAAGCAAACAACAGATGTGTAAGAAAATTTCATTTGTAACATGATTTTTGTTGTTGTTAATTAATTCACCAAACTGTCCTAAAACACTGCAGTAACATCGCCTGCTTTCCCCTTCAGCTCAAATTGTTTCCTGTGAACTACGGTTAAGGGACCAGTGCAAAGGAACAACATGTAATAGGTAAGGTATCTTTTCATTTTCATCCTTATCCATTAATTATGGCATATTATGGTGTATTCCAGTGGTGGCGAACCTATGGCACGGGTGCCAGAGGCGGCACTCAGAGCCCTTTCTGTGGGCACGCACGCCGTCGCCCCAGTCCTAGGCCTTCAGCTGGGTTTTATAAAACCTTTTCGCTTTAGGCCTCCGCCGCCATGTGCAAAAAAAAAAAGTTCAATCAATCAATCAATTTTAACTTCTCGCGGGGGAAAAAAAGATCTTGCAAAGTTGGAACTGATGATTGAACTTTTTAGTCCGACCAAGTCTGCCATTACCACCACAGCCACGCCCACCCAATGGGCCATGCCTAGCCAATGGGCCACACCCACCCAATGGGCCACACCCACCCGGCACCCGATGATGCATAAATGGGTTTTGGGTTGCAGTTTGGGCACTCGATCTCTAAAAGGTTCGCCATCACTGGTGTATTCTATCAAAAAAAAAAAACCCAAATTTATTTGCTACTTTTCTCAACTTGTTTTTTTTTAATTCTTTAGGTATGAATGTCCTTCTGGATGTTTGGACAGCAGTGCCAAAGTTGTGGGAAGTGTCTATTATGACATGGTACAGATATTGTAATTCATAGCATTTTGCTTTATAATTTATTAAGAAATTTAACTAATGTGTTATCCTTGACAAAGTGTTTGCTCAGTAAAATGGCATCAAGTTGTTAATTTTGGCAGGAATTTGAGGTTTCTCTTATATTTATTAGCTTTTACTCAATGTATTGGAAACAGGGGCAGCAAACATATAAAATAATCCATGCATAGAATCATACTGGTATACTGATTTTTACATAATTTGTTAACTCACTTTTCTCAGTATGGAACTAATGGTGAACTTTCCATAGTTCCAAATTTAATAAAACACAAAATATTATTTCTATTAAAAGTATGTATATAAAAAATAATGATTTGGTTGAACTTAATTTCTGTTTCTGGGTTTTTCTTTTCTTCCTAGCAATCAAGTATCTGCAGAGCGGCAATACATTATGGTATCCTAGATAATGATGGTGGCTGGGTTGATGTTACCAGGCTAGGAAGAAGAAATTACTTCATAAAGTCCTATAGAAATGGAGTCCAGTCAGTTGGGTAAATAAAAATGAAATATCCCTGCACAAATTAGTTCTCACATTTTCAATATAATATTGGGCGGGCCTCCTCAGGGTGCCGTCGGCCAAGCAGTGTCGGCTGGCGACCCCCAGGGGGAGGGCCTTCTCTGTGGGTGCCCCCACCCTCTGGAACGAACTACCCCCGAGATCCGGACGATTCCGGATCTCCTATCTTTTCGCCGCGCCCTCAAGACATGGCTTTTTCAGCAAGCGGGTCTGGCCTAGGGAGAATTTTAAATAGGGACAATTTTAATCAGAATTTTAATTAACACAGCGTTAAATATTTGTTTTTAATTGGCTTTTATTGGGGACAATGTTTGTGTTGTTTTAATATGCTG